GTCCTCGTCCTCGTCCTCCTTGTCCTAATCCTTGTCCTAATCCTCGTCCTTCTCGTCCTCGTCCTCGTCCTCCTTATCTTTTCATCTGCTCCGTTGTGCATTGCTCTGCTTCTCGAGCTTCTTCCACCTGCACTTGGCATTTTCCTCTTTCCCCTTCTTTCCCTCCTCCTCTCTCTCCCCTCCCATCTTTCTCGTCCTCGTCCTCGTCCTCGTCCTCGTCCTCGTCCTCGTCCTACCCTTTCTTCCCCGCAAACTCTGACATGAACCATTGCAGTCATCGGAGGGGAGCCACGATGAGGACGTTCTACACAGCATCGACAACCCGGATCAGCGTATCGTCAGTGACATCGAGTCGTTCACAAAAACCTCTCTCAACTTCATGGTCGTCTTTCTCGGCGCTGGCCTTCAGATCTTCTCCTTCGGCGCCATCCTCTACAACATCTCAGGCAAGCTTGCAGTCTTCACGATCCTCTACTCCATTCTCATCACCGGCGCCATCACCTGGCTCTTCGGAAAGAGGCTCACAGTCCTTAACTTCATCCAGCGCAAGTGCGAGGCTGATCTCCGCTTCAACCTCGTCCGGGTGCGAGAGAACGCTGAGTCGATCGCCATGTACAACGGGGGGGGGCGGGAGCTTCAGACCTCTCGCTCTTTCCTCTCTGCTCTCATCGCCAACAACCGCAACGTCATTTGGTGCATGTTCGGACTTGAGATGTTCCAGAACGCGACCCAGTACCTCACTGGGATCCTCCCGGCCGTCCTTGTGGCTCCGCAGTACCTTGCAGGAGAGGTGGAGTTTGGAGTCGTGAAGCAGGCGCAGGATGCATTCTTCATGCTTCGCTACTCCCTCTTCGTCATCGCCAACAGGACGGACGAGTTCTCCTCCTTCGCCACCGGGCTCGATCGCCTCGAAGCTCTCGTGATCGCCATCGTCGGGAGCAAGCAGCTCGAACAGGTCTTCACCTTCGAGGACGTCAATCGCAGCACGGACTCTGCCCTCCTCGACAGGTCTCAGCGAGGAGAGCGGGAGATCAGCATGCAGACCTTCTCCTCTTCCTCCTCCCCTCCGCCTTCACAGCAGGCTGAAGGCCAAGGCCTCGTCATCCGCAGCTTGTCAGTCTGCGTCCCCCGCACCGTCCGCAAGCTTGTGCAGGATCTTCGGGTCACGCTGGAGGCCGGCGAGTCCCTCCTGATCATGGGGCCCTCCGGAGCAGGCAAGACCTCCCTCCTCCGCGTCCTCTGCGGCCTTTGGGAGTCAGGGTCAGGCTCAGTCCAGCTGGGGGATCCGGTTTTCTTCCTCCCGCAGAAGGTCTACATGCCCATGGGCAGCCTCGCTGACTGCATCTGCTACCCCCACCTCGGAGTTTGCGGGTCTGTCACGGACTCTGCTCGCCTGCTCCAGCTGCTCAACGAGGTGGGGCTGGGGCGTCTCGATGGACAAGACCTCGGTCCGGGTGAGAATGAGTGCTGCGGCTGCAGCTGCGGCTACAGCTTGTTTCCTCCTCCTCGTCGTCGTCCTCGTCCTCCTCCTCGTCTGCTGCTGCTGCTGCTGCTGCTCTGCTGCTGCTGCTGCTGCTCCTCCTCCTCCTCCTCCTCCTCCTCCTCCTCCTCCTCCTCCTCCTCCTCCTCCTCCTCGCCTCCTCCTGCTCCTGCTCCTGCTCCTGCTCCTGCTCACCTGCTTCTGCCCACCTTCGCTCTCCTCTGCTTCAGTGATCTTCTTCGCTCCTTCCACCAGCATCTCCTCCTCCTCCCTCTTCTTTCCCTCCTGACACGTGCAGCAAGGAGGTTGACTGGAGCCGAAGACTTTCTCCCGGGGAGCAGCAAAGACTCTCCTTTGCCCGTCTTATCAACTACGGCAAAGTCCAGCAGGTCTCCACCAACCCTCTCTGCAGTCTCCCTTGTCATCTCTCCGCTGACTCGTCCTCCTCCTCCTTGTCCTCGTCCTCCTCGTCCTCCTCCTTGTCCTCCTTGTCCTCCTCGTCCTCGTCCTCGTCCTCCTCCTCCTCCTCCTCCTCCTCCTCCAGGTGTTCCTGGATGAAGCCACCAGCGCGCTAGACACGAGCTCGGAGGCAAGGCTGTACGCTCTCCTCCCTTCGCTCTGCTCCGTCTTCGTATCCGTCGGTCATCGTGACACGCTCGTCAAGTACCACTCGCACATCCTCCTCCTCCACGTAGGCTGAAGCTGCTCCGAGCTCCACTGACACACTGAGGGCAGGGGGAGGGCCAGGAGGGCACGTGGGAGGTTCTGCGGAGGGAAGAGTACATCCAGCGACTTTCTGCTCAGCATGTCGACTGGGCTGTGCCAGGTTTCTCCTCCTCCTCCTCCTCCTCTTCGTTCCACTCCTCCTCTTCCTCCTCCTCGTTGTCGTCCTCCTTCTCTTCGTTGACCCCCTCCTTGTTCTCTTCCTCTTTCCATCCTCGTCCTCGTCCCTCTGCCTCGTCTGCAACTTGATGCCCATCTTGTACCAGAAGAGCACATGCAGGGGAGCATGTACCATCGGAAGGGAAAAGTGTAGCGGGAAGGAGGGGCTGTAGTGCAGGGAGAGGGAGACAGATCGAGTTATTCTTTTCAAGTGAAGAAAAATTAACAGAGACAGAAGCATTACTGTACAATAGTTTGGTGTCACTCCCAATGTGACGACATGTGGACAGCCTGTAGGGAAGGAGAGGTGGAGGTGGAGGAGGAAGTCAGAGGAGGGGGCAAGGAGGAAGAGAGGAGGAGGAAGTGAGTATTGAACGAGCAATAACACAAGTTATCAGCTTACCGCTGAGTCGCTCTCTATCCTCTTCATCCCCTCCGATCGGAACGTGAATCTGATAGCACGGGAGTCATACCTTCCTCGATCTCTCCTTTGCTCTTCTCACCTCCTCTCCTCGAAGCCGAAGAGATGCGGCACGAGCTGGATCACACTGAAAAGACCCAAACAGTCATCACCTTGCCGTCACAATCTCCTTCCATTCCTAGACACTCCTTCTCTTCCTCCCTTCATCCTCTTCCACCACAACTCTACCTCCTCTTCGTCCTGCTCCTGCTCCTGCTCCTGCTCCTCCCACCTCCCTCCGCTTCCTCCATGTCTACCTTCCATGCGGGATGTGCAGCTTCCAAAAAGGTGTCTTCGAGCTTGTTCCCACGAAGTATTGGTAGAGGACTTGCAGCGTCGACAGGTGCGAAACGACAACCACAGGCGATCGCTGGCGCTCAATACGATCGACAACAAACGGCTCAAGCCTGTTCACAACATCCCTGACGAGATGCACAAGGATCAGACGGTCAGACCCTCCAGCACGAGCCCAGCAGACCTGAGCGACTCTCCTCCCGGCACCTTGGCCGTGTAAGGGGAGACGAGGAACTGCCTGATCGCGTCCTGGACTTGCGTTACCGAGGACAACACTAGTGGCTGCAGGGCACCTTTGACATGCTGTCATAGAGCTCGGCAAGGGTCATGCCATGGCAAGCTCCGATGTCCACCATGTTCAGCGCACTCGTCTCCTCATGGTAACCCTCCTGCACGCGTAGCACGTCAGCCCGGCGACATCAACAAGGGGCAGTTCTTGCCTCAAGGAAGAGCCTCTTGCCAGTTCCTGAAGCCAACGGCAGTGTGCTCGTGAACACCTGGCAGGCTCCAGTCAGCGACTGACCCGCAAGATTGCCATAGAATCACATGGGGCGCGTAGGTCTTGCTGCAGTACTCTTGTATCTGCTCTTCCGACATCCCTTCCATCTCCTTGACTGTGTTCTGCGAGGAGGAACAGCATGAACTTCGAAAAATCAATCGCAGCCCACTGCTACCTCGGCGCACTCCAGCTCTTTCTCACAGGCCTTCAACGCTTCTTGCTTTTCATCCAGCCGCTGTCTCCCTGTCAGTCCCACCAAGTGTAGAGGATCCAAGTTCACCTGTTTCAGCTTCCCCAATTCCCCCACGTCCCTGGCAGCTTCGATGACCTTGTTCCTCTAGTGAGCGAACAACATGACAAGGGAAGAGCTACACTCACTTCGACTCCCTCCACCATCTCAGATTCCTCTGTTGCCCATCCTTCCTCTATCCGTCTGCATACCCAGTGAGGGAACCCAATGTCACTCGGAAGGATTTCACTTCAAACGATCTTCTTCGAAAATCTCCTTGATCCGGCTGATGATTTCTTTCATGTCGGACTTGGCTCGGACGCAGTGAACCTTCAAATCAACAAGTCAATCAACACGCATCAACAGCTGCAGCTAGAACCTTTAACGTGATCTGCGATAGCCGATTCGTGTGACCCCCCATTACTGGTTCCCCGACACTGCGAGTAAGACCTTGCTTTTCTTCGATGATATCAAGCGCCTTCATCGACCAAGATCACAAACTCGACAATAGAAAATTAGGGAAACACCTTCTCCAAAAGATGACGGTTGTACAGGTGGCCAGTCAAGCGTATCGTAGAGGTGATGTTTTGATGCATCTTGGCTCCTCCAAAGCTTCCCTGAGTGATATGGTTCAGAGAACAGAAGCGCGCGCTTGGACGAGTCAACTACCTCTCCATCCAGTCTGTGTTGGATCTGCATGGCTGCTTCCACCACACCTCGTCGATGAATGGTGCTGTTGATGTCCTCTTGGATGTCCAACAGCTTGACTTGGCACAGATCTCGTACAACTTTGACCTTCTCCAACTTTTGTTTGTGCTGCCTCATGTAGAACTCCTGGACTTGCTCTTCAAGAAGAACTCCCAGCCTATCTGCGACCTCCCTGCCGCCATCATTGAGTCCCCTTGTCAATTTTGACGAGTCTGGGAATCGAAGCCTGGACCAATCCATTCGAAGTCTTTCTGGCAATCCTGCATCGTCGTTCAATATTGTGACAGTGCATTGCTGCTTTCTCCCAAGACTGACACCAGCAGGTTGGATTCCAGATAATACAATAGAGAAATTTTCATCCGGTTCATGGCAGTTCTGGCAGTCCATAATCATAACCTAATGGAAGAAGGAAAGTCAGAATCCACAAGTCCCCAAGTTCGATCATATCGAACCTTAATTTCAGCTCTGCTTTGCAAGGATGCAAAATTAAGTACTCCGGAATTATGAACATAGTGAATTCCTGCCTTTGCTGATCCATCCACGGTCTGAAAATGAACCGAGCATGGCAAGGTGTTGTCTCCTTTGCGCACAACGACTACATTCACTTCACCAGCCAGTTCCAGAACAGCCGATCTTTCATCCTCGAATTGGACGATAGGCTGAGTGTTCATCTCGGAAGATTGATATCTTCCATACAAATCCGTGTATGAAGTTCTACGCCTTACAGGATCGACTTGGCTATCGTACTTGCCCGTGTTTCGGAGGTCAGTCTCGCTTCCTTCAGTAACTTCTTTTCCATCCAGCTTTGAGATGTCTTTCAACACACCTTGAAAGAAAGTAAAGTGTCAGCCTCTTCTAAAGGCATAATATTGTCATCATATACCTCCAGGCATCTGCAGGCCTGGAAAGGTAGTTTCTTGATCTTCGAGACCATCTGCATTCGGTGCACGTACAAGAAATATGGGCCTTTGAACAATGTGGAGGTTCATCAAGAAAGTGAGCACAGATCGTGCGATGCCTCCGTGCACGTTGTTCGCAATGACCTTGGAGGAGAGATTGATGACCTAACAAAAGCTTGACATCGCATCCGCAAGGAAGGCCCATCGGATTACCTTGATGAAGCTGATGCTCTTCCCGGTGGAGTCAGTTTCAGCTTCATCTAGTTCTTCATACACTGCCTCATAATTCGCAATCCTTGTTTTCAAGTCCTTCATCGCGGTGTGGAAATCCATGCCCTTGAAATCAGGAGAGAGTCGAACCTTCCAACGAAAAGTTTAAAAACAGACAAGGGCGTCAATCTGAGTCACCTTTTCTGCCAGATTGGCTTCAACAACCTTTGCATCATTGCAGATAGACTCCACAAAAATGCACTGTATCCCTTTCTCTTTGAGACAGCGCTCAATCACACGCTTTCTTCGTTCTCTCGTGGTGTTAGTTGCATCGAAAATAGCAAGGTTCCCTCCACCTGATCAGCTCATCACAGACTGAAACAGACGCCACGTCAAGATCTCACCGTTGACGAGCCAATCAAGAAGTTGATCTAGAACTTCAGCTGCTAGTTCCTCTCGCTTCTGAGCTGCATCCCTGTTGTCCTTGTTGAAGAAATCAGCGCGGGAGCCTTTGGTCGCATCTTCTGCCATCTTTTGCCTTCGAAATGCCCCAACATTGAACAGACGGCAGTGAATTCCATACCAATTCAGGTAATTTACCAGTCGATGTGAAATGTAGCTCTTTCCTCTCGCAGGAAGACCAACCAAGATCACAACAAGCTTCTCCCGCTGCTTCCTGTCCAGAGCCTCCGAGTTGGAGTTAATGTATGCAGGTCTCACACCCTCGAGCATCTCAGGGCGAGAAAGTTTTGCAAACAGTTCACTGAAGGTCATGATTCGCTCTCCGGGAACGGGAACAGAACCTGCCTGGCCCATGGAGGACCCGGACAGTTTCCGTTCAAGCATGGCCAGCGCAGACTCACTCCGAGATCTCTGCAACCTAGCACTCGAGGATGCGGTCTTCAGCTCCAACCCCGAGCCAAATGCGCCGCTGTAACCGGAGTAGCCCTCATTCGACCCTGGTGCTATCACGGCCTCCACCTTATCAACTCTGAGTGAGCAGCTCAAGCAGAAGATAGCCATCAAGATGACTGGTTGGCTGAACAAAACCCAGGAGGATTTTCGAGAGAGGTATCGAGCAATCCACCCAAAGTCTTTCCTGCGGCTCGATACCATCTTGTAGTCGTGTAGTTTCAAGTGTTCCTTTGTTCTGTGCGAGGTACCCCTCAAGCTATCATGAAGATCGCCTAGATACGTCCACAGACAGACCCCCCAATGCAACACTTGATCTCTCCACAACGAGAGAGATATACGTTTCCTCAATGAAGAATGGGCACGACCTTGTGTCAAGGGTCAGCTCTTCAACGCTGTGATCAGGTAGAAAGTGACAACAAGCGCTATAGAAAGCAGGTGCAGCAGACCGAGCAAAGCGCTGGTTCACTAAACTGACAAACGGCCTCACCTTGTGCAAGAGGACGAGAGGAACAGGAGCGGCGAGAGCGGTAGACGACAGGAGGCCAGGAAGAGGAAGAAGAGTCCAGGAGGGAGGGGAGGGGAGGGGAGGGGAGGGGCAACACTCAGCAACCGCGAGCTGCCGGCATGGCAGCAGATCGAGCCTGTCTGAACAAGGGGGTAGGGGTACTTGGAGGTGGGTAGGGGTTCAAACCTTTTGCAATTATTTTCATCGGGGTATCAATTTCGAACTTCTCAATATCTGAATGAAGGGTAGCTGAGAGATACCCCTTCCAAAAGTATAGTAATAGGGGGTATTTTGATAATTTCAATTTGAGTTCGCCAGATGCTTCAAATGTGCAAATTTAGGACCGGTTGGGGGACCCTCATTTGTGGGAAGAAGAATGGTGGGTGGGGGAAGAATAGGGGTTATCTTCAAAGTGGCATTTTCTCGGGATGGTAGGGGTCCACGGGCAGTCCACGGGTAGATGCCGCCTGCCTTCTTCTTCTGCATCGATGCCTTCTTGAGCTTGTTCCTGGACACGAATCGATCAGCTGTCAACTCGACTGCGAGCGCCTCCCTGATCTTCGGGTCCTCGCTGAACAAAGTCAGGTGTACTCCCTCCATCGCTTCGCTCTCTCGGAAAGCTCGAAATCCCGCGTCGTTCGCCTCTGGGCGGCCACTTGAGGAGATGATCCACTCGACCTCTCTCTGCCTCCAGATGACGTTGGCCCCTACAGCGACGAAGCCTTTCTGACCTAAGCCTTTGTGGACTTGCTGGCCTGGTCCTAAACCCCAAACCCTAAACCCTACCCGGCGCCTAAACCCTAAACCCTAAACCCTAGTAGTTGTTGAGTTTATTAGAATGCTAGGTAGGTTTACATGGCTTGTTACTTCATCACCTTGCTCTCATTCTAGTCTCGTGACCTGGCAGTTCGGCCCGACTTGGCTGGCCCCTATGGCAGCCGTGCTTCTGCTCTGCTCCCTCCTCTGCCATATTTTTATATACTTCGTGGTCTCGCCGGGTATATCAGGCAGCGCCGGGTATATCACCGAGGCAGCGCCGGGTATATCAGGCAGCGCCGGGTATATTAGTCAGGCAGCTGCAGGCAGCGCCGAGGCATGCCCACTGCACGCGCGGTGTAGGGGAAGCCGCCAGGGCGCGAAGGAAGCTGCGAGCAAGAGGTCTGTATAGTTCAAACAGCTTTCTAAGTATGGTTCTTCAGTATGATGAAAGTGTTCGCAACACACGCAGGGCGAGCTTGTGCGATTTCCTAACAGCAGGACAGCTCAGGCTTGCAAGGCTGTGGAGGGATGCACCCCCGACGCTATCCGCGGCAGAAGCCATCCGCTCGACATGTCAGCAGGCACGACGTGAGCTTCTACAACAAGCTTTAGCTGGATGGAGTGACGCATCCAGAGAGTGGTTTATGCAACAGATGGAGGAAGCTAAGAAGCAGAACTTCGGAAGGTCGAGACATACACTGCCACAGCAGGCAACGAGGTGACTTCCTTCATCTCCATGACTCTCCTGGGGATCTCGTCGGTGTATGTGAACCACGAGGACAAGCTGAAGAAGAAGTTCGAAGAGATCGGACTGATCGTAGACTCAGTGCAAGAGAGTAAAGCGATCATGTGGAAGGCTCCGTATAGATCCGAGATAGCGAGTGCTGATGAGATCCCGGTGACTGTTTCCTTCCTCCGCAATGCACAAGGCCGGAGAAGCTCTGGGAGGGAAGAGAGGACTTCACTGCCACGTTCACAGCCGTACATGTGAGCAGATGCCGAGCCAAGAGAGGACCCTGGGGCAAAGGGGGCAGCTTGGCAGAGCTGACTCACCTGCTAAGCCTGGGCGGGATGACGATAGCAGAGATTGCTGCAGTAGTAAAATCGAGAGACCGTGCTACATTGAAACCACTCCTAATCAAATCAAAACAGAAGAGGATGAAGTTGACACAGCTCGTAAGGAAAAGGGAAAGCTTTGAACAGCACCTCGAGGTCATCTACCGTCAACTCGGAATTGGACCAGACACTCATCTCAGCCGTCAAGACGACCGCAACGGCAATGAAGAACCTGGGACTTGACAAGAAGTTATCCGATGTTGACGATATCATGACAGATCTGGAAGAGACACACTCTGACGTAAAGGATATCAACAACATACTATCACAGAAGATGAGCTTCCATGAAGACGAATTTGATGACAACGACATCGAAGAAGAGCTGAACATACTCATGGGTATAGAATCAGAAGAATGCAAGCAAGAGTCAAGCCTTATGCGCAACAAACTTATCATCAAATCGAGCAACAAGGCAACTTTGGACATACCAACCATACAGAGCACCATGACAAGGAAGAAGAGAATAAGAAGGATAACGAGACCCATGCCAGCACAGTAAATTCTAGAATAGTAGTTTATTTCAATCTGTCAAATAAAAATTCAAGACAGCGATGTATCAAGACTCAATCCTTACGCAATTTAGAATCAACTTCGGCATCAACTTTCCCAGAAACGTTATGGTTCAGCTTTGGGCCTTTGAAGAGCCACATGCTGCACTGTCCAATCTCGTGATGTCACAATGTATTGTCTCTGTAGTGGCTTGCGCAATTTCCACAGGTTCTAGTGAATGTGTCACACCTCGAAGATTCTCGAGTGGACCTTCAAGCGCAGTTCAATAAGAACATTGTCTCTGTAGTGGCTTGCGCAATTTCCACAGGTTCTAGTGAATGTGTCACACCTCGAAGATTCTCGAGTGGACCTTCAAGCGCAGTTCAATAAGAACTCACGTTGGATTTCTCTACTAAGAGGGAAAGCGGTGAAACAGAAGGAGATCTAACTCTCTTTTATTTCTTTCACACACACACACAATCGTGGACACACACGAAAGGGGAAGAGGACCACCTAGCTCTGACGAGTTTCTTCCTTTTATAGCTTCGAGGAATGAGCCAGGGGTGTCGTCTCTTGGCTCCAGAAAGGAGGGGTGTCCTGTCCTTGGAAGTTGACAAGCATCCCTTCTGACCTTCGAGAGGATACCATGCTAGTATCCTGGGTCATCCAGGAGAAGTCAGCTTCGAACACGAGTACGAGACAGCCAACTGTCCTTTCATCCTGATAGGCCTTTGTCTGACTCGGGCTCGGTTCCTATGAGCTCTGACACGCTCTTCTCTGCGCTTTCTTGGAGTGCTCCGGACTCAGAAAACTTCGCTTTCTCAGCCTTGTCAAATCTGTTTTTCCTCTGACACGCTCCAGGCGCAGCACGTAAAAATCCTAATTGAAGAGGCGCACGACGTTGCCGCTGCGGGCCATGAGAAGAAGCAGAAGCATCTTGACGCGTGCGATGCTGTTCATATTTCTGAAGCAACTGACGGAGCCCCGGTGTACGCGAGAGATGGGCAACAGGTTCCGACAAGTGTCGTCGGCGGAGGAAAATCCCTTCCAACGAACCAGATATTGCTTCGCACAGGTTGGGAAACCACAGGCTGTTGCAAATGATCTTTCCTGCGCACATGGGGGCGTAGGAACTTGGCATTAAAAACATCTTGATCCATGCGAGGGAAGCGCTGGCGAACATCAACTGAGTGACTCGATAATTGTTGTTGTTGCAAACCTCGGTGATTGGGAAAGGACCAATGTATCGATCTCGAAATTTGCGAATTTCAAACTGCTGATTGAATAAACGCGCGTCGATCCAGACCAAATCACCAACTTTCACTTGCCAGCGAAGCGGCGGCGGGCGGCGAGACTCGAAGGAAGTAGACGCGTCTCTGCTCGATTGGCGATCGAGGCCAAGGTATCTCGATTAAGGTTTTCACCTGCACGGATGTTGTCGACAGTCGTGCGGGCTTGAGGAAGAACCTGATCAAGGGTCAAGTCCATAACTGAGCGCGGATTCTTGCCGTATTCCACTACGGGGGGCATGATTGAGGGCAAACTCAATGAATGGAAGATGGACTGTCCATTCAGAGGAACCCTGAGCGAGTTTAGTGCGGAGCATGCATTGATCCGTTCAACGCGACCATTGGCCTGGGGATAGTACTTGGAAGAGTGGCGTACTGGCCTGAACGCCTAGCGTCTGAAATACTGTATCCCAAAAATGCGAGGAGACATTTGGCCCATTATCCGAAAGGATCGCAGCAGGAAGACCACGAGTGCGATAGAAGTATTGGAGAAATAAATCCACAAGTTCCTGGGTCGTAGCAGACTTGTGAGTTGGAGCCAGCGTGACATGTTGCGAGAACGAGTCCAACATGACGAAGAGAGAATCATGACCTTGGGAGGTAGTCGGAAGTCCGCTATGTAGATCGACGGAGATGACGTAACTGTCAAATTTGTCAGCAGGAACGTCATGACTCTTGGGCAAACCGATGGGTTTCTGTTTGTAGTTCTTCGCAGCCTGGCAAATGAGGCAGGAATGCACGTAATTTTCGACGTCACGCTTCATGTTATTCCAGTAGACTTTCAACCGGCCGGGCAACAAGTGAGAGGTAGGTCTTGTCAGAACCAACATGGCCGGCATCATCATGTGCAAGGCGTAGTACAAGTATGCAGGAGGCGGACTCGGAAAATCTTCGATGGCAGCACGTGACTTTGCTAGCTTCGGGTGCAATCCCACGCGCATTCAAAGTGTATCCGAGAAAACTGATCTGCGTCTGAAGAAACACACACTTGCTCCGTTTAACGAAGACCTGGTGGTGGCGGAGGCGCTCCAGTAGGAGACGCACCTGCTGTAGGTGTGAACGAGGATTACCCATGGAAAAGAGTAAGACATCATCGACGTAGACTAAAACGTTGGCCATACCTGCGAGGATGCCCTGTGAGAACTTCTGGAAGGCAGCTGTGGCCGTTTTCAGACCAAAGGGCAGAGCGCGGAATTGGTACGGTAGGATCCTTGTTCAGTAACAAACCCAGTGTATTGGCAAGTTGAGAGCTGTCAGGAGTGAGAGCTAGCTGCCAGAACCCAGAAGCCATGTCTAGCTTGCTGAAGTATAGGGTATCCGTACTGGACTCAGTACGCTGCGAGAGCACCCGCCCGATCCGTTCCATGAGCTCGGTAGGGACGGGAGGCGGAAAACTGTCGTCGAGAAGGTGATTGTTGACTCCTCGATAATCAATACAAAAACGAAATTGAGGGACTCCTTCAGAGGAAAGACCTTTATTCCGTTCAATCATTCGATGCCACGTGCCAACAAGAAGTCGATCATTTTAGCGAGCTCCTCCTGGAGCGCAACGTCGGTGGCATACTGCCCCCGCGAGACAGGTGGCTGGATTGGTAGTTCGTCGACCAGAACATCGGAAAAATCCTCGAGTAGCTCCTGCAAGGCCTGAGCTGCGAGCGGCGAGTCCGACGAGGCGACCTGAGAGACCAACGAACTGGTAGAAACAGGCGAGGAGACGGTCGCCATGGCCCAGGGCATCATATCCTCAGGTGGAGGAGGCTGAAGCGTGTTCCAGTCCGCATGCCAGGGAAAGATCAAACACTGGGCCTCAGGTCAGAGAATCAAGCCGCCGGTCCGAGCAGCACGACGACTGGCAAACTTTGAACTTCCGGTGTAGCGTAATACCTCTTGAAGCAAGCGAAGTCCAGAAGGCTCTGAAGCAAGGAGAAGCAAGGTTGTGCCTGAAGCCGTTGAAATGGAATCAGGGGGGCTATGATGCAGTGATTTTGGACTCGAATGACAAGTTGGTGCGCTTCATACAGGTAACCATTGCGGAGACCCATGACCTTAAATTGCGGTTCATGTATGAGTGTCTGCAATCTTTGGGCATTGAGCAAGGGGGGACCTGGAAGGTTGAGATTGTGTTTGTCGTTCCAAAGGAGAATCTCTACAAGTTCAGAATGAAACGTGTGGAAGACGAATTTATACTTAAACAGTACGGGTGGACACGCGACTCTCAAGTAGTTGCAATGAACTCCAGACCGCAAGGATAGAGCCGACAGATCGATGAGGGAAGAAAGAGGGGAGTCGCGGCCCCCAGAAGCCTCCCTTGCATCATGTGATAGAGTGCCTTGAATAAATACATCCCCGATACCAACTCTGACACTACCTCATCTCCACAGCCTTACGCACGTCACTAACCCTCATCTCTCCTCCTTCCACAGGTGCGTGGCGGGCCCGGCGCCTTTTGAAGGACGCGATCCTGGTGATGATTCGTGTTCCCTGCCGATTCTCAGAGAAGGAACGATGGCATGTAAGCCGACAAGGATCAGCGGGCGTGAGGTAGTTCCTTCACACTGACGTCTTGATCTTACTTGATGCCACCGATCATCACAAGCGTCTCGTCATTACGTCATGATCTTGAATTACTCAATAATGCTTCTGGTACAAAGGCTGGCCCAGTGGGCCAGATCCAATTAGTCCTGAGGGGGGCATAGCTTGCCGTCTGGGGTCCAGAAGCACCCATATCTGCTTAAGACTACCCTCCTTTCCCCTATCAAATGTCGGGTAGGGTAGCACTACCCCGTTTGTGGTTGTGAGGGGGTAGACAAGGCAAATTGAGGCTGTTCTTGGAGCCTATTAGTACCGGATCTCGAGCTCCTCGTACAGTTCTACTATACGCTTTTAAGGCGATTTCAGGGTGATGGTGAACTGTGTTCCACCCCCCTGCACCCAAGAAACGGCTGGTTTGAATTTACACGCATGAGTACCCCCATTTTAACCCCAGGTTCTCTTGAGAATGCGAGGGTAGGTGATTGGAAACAAGACACCTCCACCCCCTGCTCTCCAAGTTTGAAGTATAGAAAAAGGGGGTAGGGGTCACCCCTTTCCTTCACTTTCCCCAAATCCCCCCTCCCTCGACCAAGCAAGAGATGGCGAACCGATCCCTTGCTCGCGCGCGACAACCAATTTGAATGGTGAGAGACTTCGAATCTATGTGTACTGTCATGTGGATGAATAGAAAACTTCTCTTTGAACCTATCCATAATGGTTGAGACCCATTCTTGGATTCCAAGAGGAAAGACAAGATTTGAATCTGAGTTCGTTGAGTTGCTTGTGAATACAAAGAAGCTTTGAAGCATGGTGAGAATAGTTTTAACTGTATATTAATGATGATGTTTGCTTTCTTGATCTTGTGATGGTGTAAATATGCATCAAATATTGTTTTGAGCGGCAAGGATTCAAATTTGCATGGTTACATTATCCCAACAAGCATGTGGCTTGCCTTCTTGTTTTTGCACTGAGACGCCTCGATGATGATGTATCTTAGTTATATAAGCGATTTTCACACTTTGAGAAGGAAAACATGAGGAAAATGGATCAGAGTGCGTTGAGAGAAGCAACCTTCGAATACTTGAAGGAAATGCGATCCTCCTTGTTGCGTTGCCACCCTAGCATCCTGGTACCAGAATGCTACCTGGGATGAAAGTGAAGCAGATTTGAAGATACTTGCTGTTGCTTTTCTATGTTTGCGATGGATTTGAATCAGGTGAAAGCCAAAAGAAAGTGGCGTCACCAATGATGCTTGCACATTGTATGCAGATGTATGTGACTCTCTCTCTGTTGGTGACATTCATTCCATGAAATGAGGAACTTGCACGTCACTTACTCTAGCATGGAACTATGCATGTGATAGCGTGCAACTGCTTCATTCTCAGGGTAGCTTCAATAAAGCCAAATCATCACATCCTTGCTGGTTAGATTCGTCTTACATGCCAATGCTCATCGCCATGTCATTCTGTACATTCATGTGCTTGTGGCTTTGTTAAGCAGCCACACTCCACGACGTCGGCTCTATCCTTGCGGTCTGGAGTTCATTGCAACTACTTGAGAGTCGCGTGTCCACCTGTACTGTTTAAGTATAAATTCGTCTTCCACACGTTTCATTCTGAACTTGTAGAGATTCTCCTTTGGAACGACAAACACAATCTCAACCTTCCAGGTCCCCCCTTGCTCAATGCCCAAAGATTGCAGACACTCATACATGAACCGCAATTTAAGGTCATGGGTCTCCGCAATGGTTACCTGTATGAAGCGCACCAACTTGTCATTCGAGTCCAAAATCACTGCATCATAGCCCCCCTGATTCCATTTCAACGGCTTCAGGCACAACCTTGCTTCTCCTTGCTTCAGAGCCTTCTGGACTTCGCTTGCTTCAAGAGGTATTACGCTACACCTTTGCCAGTCGTCGTGCTGCTCGGACTCGGCTTGATTCTCTGACCTGAGGTTGACCTGCAGCCCTGGATCTCGTCCTATCCGAGCAAAGAACAGCATCTCAAACAAAATCCCCCGAAGAGACGGATTCTCAGTCATGCCAGGGAGCTGCTCAATCTTCCTCACAAACGATTCTCCGAGCTTCTCTGCTAGCTCCCTGGCAACAAACCTACTGATAAAAGTCCAGTACACCTGGTTTCCGATTCGATACTTCCCATGCAGCCGATTGACAAACTGCTTTGAAAGGTCGCCCACGTTCATTTCAAAGAGCGTCGTGAAATTATAGACAGAGTCCATCGCTGCACAGAGATCTTGGATAGCTTGATCTGTCGTACATTCGAACATATGGCGGCATGAGCCTCCAACAATCTGATACTTTGACTCGACATCTCTCGACCTTGTCTCCTCCGAGCTTTCTTCCGCATCCAAGCTCCATTTCATTACACCGGCCACACTCTTGTAGAACATTTCGCTCCTGGTACTCCTCCAGTGCCCACGAGTACACCATCAACTCCTCTACCTTCTCCATTCTATCGAGCTCAATTTTTTTCTTTTCTCGAGAACTCATCGACGTCGTGATGACAACCCGCCGGTTTTCCCGGTCCTTGTGAAGCCACCACATGCATTCACTGAGCGCCAGATCATGTACATCCTGTTGGTAACCGTCCAAGGACACAAGATACTTCTTCTTGCCCTGAGACCATTCTCTTAGGACCCATCTCAGCATCTCTTCTGCACCATTGCGTGGCAAATCAGCGATTCTCAAAACTCCATCATCAACTTGGAGCACTTGAATTGAACTCCACTTCCACAGCCGCACACACATCACCATCCATCCCTCCTCCATGCTCAGCGATTGTATAAAGGACATGGTCGTCGACGACTTCCCCGTCCCTGGAGGCCCTAAGATCCAACCCAGACTCCCGTCCTTACACACTCTGTCCTTAATGAACTCCCACTGCTCATTGAAGCATTTCCTGCAGTAGAGCACCCGCTGCCTTCCTTGTCCAGAGCTGTGCTGATCCCAAAACGACCCATCGAGACAAAAAAAATTTCCCTCCTCCATATACCCCACCGCGTCACGATTCCGAGTTATCTCCTTCCAAGAGATGTGGGTCTCTCTCTCTCGGAGACCTTTCCAATCCTTTCGGAGCTCCTCCTTCTCCTTCTCTAGTTTCTTCTCCTGGTCTGCAAGGTCCTTCAGAACATCCTGCCAGTACTCCTTGATTTCGCCTTCGAGATGAAGTTTCCGCATGGCCTCAGTCTTATCATTTCGGATATTCTCCTCCTTCTTTCGGAGCTCCTCCTTTCGGAGCTCCTCCTCCTTTCGGAGCTCCTCCTTCTCCTTCTCTAGTTTCTTCTCCTGGTCTGCAAGGTCCTTCAGAACATCCTGCCAGTACTCCTTGATTTCGCCTTCGAGATGAAGTTTCCGCATGGCCTCAGTCTTATCATTTCGGATATTCTCCTCCTTCTTTCGGAGCTCCTTCTCCTTCTTTCGGAGCTCCTCCTTTCGGAGCTCCTCCTTCTCCTTCTCCTTCTCTAGTTTCTTCTCCTGGTCTGCAAGGTCCTTCAGAACATCCTGCCAGTACTCCTTGATTTCGCCTTCGAGATGAAGTTTCCGCATGGCCTCAGTCTTATCATTTCGGATCTTCTCCTCCTTCTTTCGGAGCTCCTTCTCCTTCTTTCGGAGCTCCTCCTTCTCCTTCTCTAGTTTCTTCTCCTGGTCTGCAAGGTCCTTCAGAACATCCTGCCAGTACTCCTTGATTTCGCCTTCGAGATGAAGTTTCCGCATGGCCTCAGTCTTATCATTTCGGATCTTCTCCTCCTTCTTTCGGAGCTCCTCCTTTCGGAGCTCCTCCTTCTCCTTCTCTAGTTTCTTCTCCTGGTCTGCAAGGTCCTTCAGAACATCCTGCCAGTACTCCTTGATTTCGCCTTCGAGATGAAGTTTCCGCATGGCCTCAGTCTTATCATTTCGGATCTTCTCCTCCTTCTTTCGGAGCTCCTCCTTCTCTTGTCGAAGTTCCTCTTCCTTCTTTCGGAGCTCCTCCTCCTTCTCTTTTCGAAGCTCCTCTTCCTTCTTTCGGAGCTCCTCCTCCTTCTCTTTTCGGATCTTCTCCTCCTTCTTTCGGAGCTCCTCCTGCTTGTTCCCTTGTACTCTCTTGCTGTTACGGGCGGACTGCTCATCGTCGCCCCCATCTTGCCTGCCGCGTTTCGTCATTGCAGCTGAAGTGAGAGAATTATTTTTCAACTCCAAGAGAGAGGGAAGCTTGTTGTCCCACATTTGAAATTTAAGGGCATATTATGAGACTTGATTTGAAAAAGCTTGGGACCGGTATCAGTCTAGTTTCGGGGCCCGTTTCCTCAAACAGCCTTCACAGTCAACTTTACTCGGCGGCTGGTCAAGGTGTATATCACCCCAACCTTGGGATTGAGGGAATGGCGTGTTGGATATTTTAAAATGGAGGAGGCACCTGCCACTGGAGCAGGGGGAGCAGGGGGGGGAAGGTTCAGCAGCACGATTCAGCTTGCTTTGCAGTCATTCTGGGAGGCTTTCCAACGAGACCCTGTGGTATCAGAAGGGCCCTCTTCATCGAAATCACGATCATCTTTCCGTTGGCAACACTGGTACGAATTTAGCTTCATCTCCTACAGGTTCTGGTGCTACCTTGGACCTCCCATCTGCCCGACCCTCGGAGCCAGAGGCCCCACCTACTCCTCCGCTGTCTGATGAGCCAAGTGCTGAAGAGCTTCGTACAGCTTTTCGGCGGCCGCACACCTATGGTACTCGCTCAGCTACACGTCGCACCAACATCCGTGGTCGCCCTCTGCGGATAGTGGGGACCTCCGAGTCAGCCTGCACTGGCGGCACGGCAACGGCGAGCAGCAGTGGAGGCTCTCCTGTTAGTTCAGAGATTGTATCACCCTCTGGTGGTCACAGTGGTGGAGGCCGCCGGGGCGGCAATGGTCGAGGGCGTGTAGGGACTGGCCGTTCCCATCGAAATTTCAGACAGACGTGTATCAGCACTGCCTCTTTGCACACAGCTCCTCCATCCGGCAGTTTGCCGTCGGCAAGGCGGGCGCCGCCCAGCTCTTCTAACGCCAGGGCCGTCCCCCCGCCGCCGTCGACAGGCCACGGGTTGTTGCGTTCGGCTTCCCCGGCATCTTCCCAGGAATGGCTTGCGTCTTTACAGGCAGCAGACTTTCCCGTTGGCACTGTCAGATGGGAGGCCGGAGTTAAGTGGTGGTTTGAGCACTCAGAGCATGTTCTTCTTCAACTCCTCGGTCGGAGTCCAGCCATTTTTACAGTCAAGCGTTTGAACAAGGAAGGAGTACAAGCATGGAAAGTTGCAGCTCAGGCTACCCTCCGCATGCTTCAGCTGGCGCCTGGTCTCTCTTCTCCCGCGGCAGCAGGGCAGCTTCGGCTTCTCTGGGATGCCCTCCCGCTATTGCTCCTCTCACCGGGCCCTCGCCTCTCCATCAATCGTGGAAACGCTGAGATCTGTCATCGGGTCAAGAGTGGTGGAGGGAGATCCTCACAGGCGCCGCTTCCGGCTCCGAGGGAATCGGCGGCCAACGGGCGTAGTCTTGAGCGCAGGAAGCTTGATATTGCCCTTGAACATTATGAAAATCGAGATCTTCACAAAGCAAGACGTACCCTCACGGGGGCTGGCCTACGGACTGATGACTTCGATCAGATTTACCACGACACTCTTGAGAAGTTCCCTCACAGCCCCAGCCCTGTTTCCTTGCTTGACCCTGGCAACCTTCAAGCTTCCCGTCATCAGCTCATATTCGGAGAGGCCTCGGGCGACGACGAAGATACAGACTCTGAATCTCTCTTGGATGCCATCCTTCATGAGAAGCATGTCAATAAGGTCCTGAGTAAATTCACCAAGTCAGCTGCAGCGGATCTTACAGGATGGCGACCTTTTCAGTTCTTGCGCCCTATCCTCCGAATGGACGAGGCTACCAAGGATGCCTACAAGAACTTCATTCTGAAACCTCTACTCTTGGGGTATGGCACCGGAATTGATCAGATCGATAGCCTTCTGCGGGGGGGAATATACTACCCAGCTGCCAAGCCGGGTAAACCTGGTTTACGCCCAATTATCATAGGAAGCCTGCAGAGGCGATTGAGCTCTAGCCTCTTCACTCGCTACCACCGCTCTGACCTTACCCACTTCTTCACTCAGGCTCATCCTCGGGTGATCCAGCACTCGGGCGGTCTGGAAGATGGGGCGATTCGATTTGCCAAGCTCCTTCAGTGCACGCTAGGGCCTTTCACGCATCAGCACATTCCGTCGGAGGCGACGTTGCTCGCCTATGACCCTGTCGTCATGATTGGGCTGGACTGCAAGAATGCTTTCAATTCCTTATCCCGGCGGGCATTGCTTGACACTTTGTTGGGTACGGCGTCTCAGGGCTACTTTGCGTCCCTGGGTGAGGGATTCCTCGCCAGGCCGGGGGACCAGCTCCCGCAATGCGGATCGTTTGCGCACCGCGTCCTCCCTTATGTCTCTCACTTCTATCAGGGTGATTGTCGTCTCTTTTTGAAGCGAGGAACGCAAGCTCGGCCTTTCGACTGCTCTCGAGGGGTTCACCAAGGTGATCCAGCAGGTCTCAGTCTCTTCTGTCACGCTCTCCATCCTTTTCTCATGCGAGTTGCGGATAAGCATACCAACTGCACCTTCCCGCTGTACGCTGATAATATCACGGTGGTTGGGCGACTTTCGGACGCTAGTGCTGCGGTCAAGGACCTTATCGACACCCTGCGGGATGACTTGGCACTGGACATTCAGCCTCGCGACTCCAAGGTCTTTTCCCCTTCCTGGGTCGACTTACCGCCCGAACAGCATTCAGCAATCGTTGCCTTCATCAAGCGCGAATTTGCGCACTTGCGGAGCTTCTCGGTCGAGATGGAGGGGGTGGTGGCAGGAGGCATACCTTTGGGCTCTAGGGGCTTCATCAGCAACTGGCTTCGGGACAAGCTCGCGGCTCTAGACGATGACCTCCACAAGTTGGGATCGCTGAGTACCTTACATCCCTTCGCCTGCAAACACCTTATCCGGGCTACTCATCTCCCAACTTTGCAGTACTTCTTACGGGGCATCGATCCTGAAATGGTAACTGATGCATGCACTGCTTTCGACCAGAGTGTTCTTCTGGAACTGGGCAAGGCTTTTGATTGGCCCTCGTCGGACGGAGGCTCGGACATTGACTTCGGTCTGGCCAGCTCTTCTTTCTTGTCTCCATTGGACTTTGCTTTTTTCAAGCGTCAACTTCCATACCAGGAGGGCGGGGATGGCTTTACACCTCAAGCAGGAGTTAGTCTATCAGCTTATTACATCGCCACGGCCAGTTTCTTACAATGGAGCGCTACTTTACCCTGTGTGCAGACCTGGACATTCTCAACCCCTCCGCTGTTCTCTCGGCTGGATGGTACCCTCCGTCAATTGGACGAGCCGGATCTGGCCCTCCCTCCCCTACTCGCCTCCTTCCTGCGGGTGCATCAGGCCCTGGTTGACCGTGGAGTGCCGCAATACCTGGACCCCAGCGACCTGGAGGACGCACGTTTGCACAATTCGATCCCATCTCCGGCGCTCTTTCAGCTCGCGGGCGGACCTCCTTTTCTCCCCCCCCAGCGCTCAGTCACTGGACGGTTGATGCAGACTTTTCCCCCTCATCTTGAGCGGCGGGCGCAATTGTCTCAGGTGCAGGCAGCTCTCCTCCGGGCTCATGGCAGCTATACTGTGGAGCTCTATCCCCCCGAGTCAGCGAGTCAGCCTTCTTCCCCTTTCCCCCTGGAGCCCCTCCTTCGGAAGACTCAGAACCCACAGCGGCGCTTGCAATACTCTTTGATGGAGGCCACCAACGTTCACCCTTCTAACCAGTGTCCCATCCACCTCGCACGAGGTGTCGACCGCTTCCTGCATGGGCTACCCCCGGCTAGGCTGCCTCCCACCTGTGATCGTTGTGCTACAGCTCTGGATCCATCGGCGGGAAGCAGTGTCTCTCATTTGGCCAACTGTCGTCATCGCGCTGCTCTCTGGACCACTGCACTCACGAAGCTCCATCAACAGGGACTGCGACACACCCGGACCCTCGTTCCTCAGCATGGCCCCACCAACCGACACATGGGCGACCTTTGGCTCCCTGGCCTCTCCACCCACACCTGGAATGGGCTGGTTCTGGACTTCACGATGACCCATCCCTACAACAGCAGCGGCAGCCCCGTCGGACTTTCTGCGCTCTCCGGCCCCGCCCAACAGAAGATTTCCGATCATCGCGCAAGTTATGGCACCCATCACCCGCCGAAGGCCTTTCTTCCCTTCACTGCAGGTACGCTCAGGAGGCGGTGTATGGGGACCCTGGCTTTCATCGTTTGCGTGCTCGCCTGTTTCGGCAGTATCGCTCTCGTATGGGTCTTGCCGTCCTCCTCGCAGGGGCCTTGCGCTACTGCTCTTTGTCCTGATCCTTGTTCCCCTGCTTGTCGTGCGTGCGGCCGTCGCTTGCGTGGTTGGAGTGCCGGTTTTCGCTGCCTCCTTCGTTTCCTAGTATTTTTATTGAGGCGGGTTTGTAGGCTTTATCCTCCCCCTCCTTTGTTTGCTCCGGTTTGTCCTTCTTTTTCAGTCAATAAAGAAGTTTCTGACTGAGCCGGGTAGAAATCGATTGATCAACTTCCAAGTTTCCGAATCAACTTGATGCCTTGATGACGAAAGATCCTGGACCGGGTAGTTTCATCAACTTGATGACATCGAGTCTTGCGAGGCCGAGAGTGACCATCGATCGATTTCTACCCAGAGTTTACTGATCGTTCGATGAAGAGGCCTCCCAGAATGACTGCAAAGCAAGCTGAATCGTGCTGCTGAACCTTCCCCCCCCTGCTCCCCCTGCTCCAGTGGCAGGTGCCTCCTCCATTTTAAAATATCCAACACGCCATTTTTGCAGCCATCGAGAGAAATTTAAACAATACCCCATTGGACTACCATTGGAATAGTAAAAACGCTACGCTTCTGATACCGGTCAGTTTCTGCCCGGCCGCCCCAAGCTTTTTCAAATCAAGTCTCATAAAATGCCCTTAAATTTCAAATGTGGGACAACAAGCTTCCCTCTCTCTTGTTGAGTTGAAAAATAATTCTCTCACTTCAGCTGCAATGACGAAACGCGGCAGGCAAGATGGGGGCGACGATGAGCAGTCCGCCCGTAACAGCAAGAGAGTACAAGGGAACAAGCAGGAGGAGCTCCGAAAGAAGGAGGAGGAGCTTCGAAAAGAGAAGGAGGAGGAGCTCCGAAAGAAGGAAGAGGAGCTTCGACAAGAGAAGGAGGAGCTCCGAAAGAAGGAGGAGAAGATCCGAAATGATAAGACTGAGGCCATGTGGAAACTTCATCTCGAAGGCGAAATCAAGGAGTACTGGCAGGATGTTCTGAAGGACCTTGCAGACCAGGAGAAGAAACTAGAGAAGGAGAAGGAGGAGCTCCGAAAGGAGGAGCTCCGAAAGAAGGAGGAGAAGATCCGAAATGATAAGACTGAGGCCATGCGGAAACTTCATCTCGAAGGCGAAATCAAGGAGTACTGGCAGGATGTTCTGAAGGACCTTGCAGACCAGGAGAAGAAACTAGAGAAGGAGAAGGAGGAGCTCCGAAAGGAGGAGCTCCGAAAGAAGGAGGAGAAGATCCGAAATGATAAGACTGAGGCCATGTGGAAACTTCATCTCGAAGGCGAAATCAAGGAGTACTGGCAGGATGTTCTGAAGGACCTTGCAGACCAGGAGAAGAAACTGGAGAAGGAGAAGGAGGAGCTCCGAAAGGAGGAGCTCCGAAAGGAGGAGGAGCTCCGAAAGGAGGAGCTCCGAAAGAAGGAGGAGAAGATCCGAAATGATAAGACTGAGGCCATGTGGAAACTTCATCTTGAAGGCGAAATCAAGGAGTACTGGCAGGATGTTCTGAAGGACCTTGCAGACCAGGAGAAGAAACTGGAGAAGGAGAAGGAGGAGCTCCGAAAGGATTGGAAAGGTCTCCGAGAGAGAGAGAACCACATCTCTTGGAAGGAGATAACTCGGAATCGTGACGCGGTGGGGTATATGGAGGAGGGAAATTTTTTTTGTCTCGATGGGTCGTTTTGGGATCAGCACAGCTCTGGACAAGGAAGGCAGCGGGTGCTCTACTGCAGGAAATGCTTCAATGAGCAGTGGGAGTTCATTAAGGACAGAGTGTGTAAGGACGGGAGTCTGGGTTGGATCTTAGGGCCTCCAGGGACGGGGAAGTCGTCGACGACCATGTCCTTTATACAATCGCTGAGCATGGAGGAGGGATGGATGGTGATGTGTGTGCGGCTGTGGAAGTGGAGTTCAGTTCAAGTGCTCCAAGTTGATGATGGAGTTTTGAGAATCGCTGATTTGCCACGCAATGGTGCAGAAGAGATGCTGAGATGGGTCCTAAGAGAATGGTCTCAGGGCAAGAAGAAGTATCTTGTGTCCTTGGACGGTTACCAACAGGATGTACATGATCTGGCGCTCAGTGAATGCATGTGGTGGCTTCACAAGGACCGGGAAAACCGGCGGGTTGTCATCACGACGTCGATGAGTTCTCGAGAAAAGAAAAAAATTGAGCTCGATAGAATGGAGAAGGTAGAGGAGTTGATGGTGTACTCGTGGGCACTGGAGGAGTACCAGGAGGCCATAAAGTACGAAATGTTCTACAAGAGTGTGGCCGGTGTAATGAAATGGAGCTTGGATGCGGAAGAAAGCTCGGAGGAGACAAGGTCGAGAGATGTCGAGTCAAAGTATCAGATTGTTGGAGGCTCATGCCGCCATATGTTCGAATGTACGACAGATCAAGCTATCCAAGATCTCTGTGCAGCGATGGACTCTGTCTCTAATTTCACGACGCTCTTTGAAATGAACGTGGGCGACCTTTCTGGGAAGTATCGAATCGGAAACCAGGTGTACTGGACTTTTATCAGTAGGTTTGTTGCCAGGGAGCTAGCAGAGAAGCTCGGAGAATCGTTTGTGAGGAAGATTGAGCAGCTCCCTGGCATGACTGAGAATCCGTCTCTTCGGGGGATTTTGTTTGAGATGCTGTTCTTTGCTCGGATAGGACGAGATCCAGGGCTGCAGGTCAACCTCAGGTCAGAGAATCAAGCCGAGTCCGAGCAGCACGACGACTGGCAAAGGTGTAGCGTAATACCTCTTGAAGCAAGCGAAGTCCAGAAGGCTCTGAAGCAAGGAGAAGCAAGGTTGTGCCTGAAGCCGTTGAAATGGAATCAGGGGGGCTATGATGCAGTGATTTTGGACTCGAATGACAAGTTGGTGCGCTTCATACAGGTAACCATTGCGGAGACCCATGACCTTAAATTGCGGTTCATGTATGAGTGTCTGCAATCTTTGGGCATTGAGCAAGGGGGGACCTGGAAGGTTGAGATTGTGTTTGTCGTTCCAAAGGAGAATCTCTACAAGTTCAGAATGAAACGTGTGGAAGACGAATTTATACTTAAACAGTACGGGTGGACACGCGACTCTCAAGTAGTTGCAATGAACTCCAGACCGCAAGGATAGAGCCGACAGATCGATGAGGGAAGAAAGAGGGGAGTCGCGGCCCCCAGATGCCTCCCTTGCATCATGTGATAGAGTGCCTTGAATAAATACATCCCCGATACCAACTCTGACACTACCTCATCTCCACAGCCTTACGCACGTCACTAACCCTCATCTCTCCTCCTTCCACAGGTGCGTGCCCGGCGCCTTTTGAAGGACGCGATCCTGGTGATGATTCGTGTTCCCTGCCGATTCTCAGAGAAGGAACGATGGCATGTAAGCCGACAAGGATCAGCGGGCGTGAGGTAGTTCCTTCACACTGACGTCTTGATCTTACTTGATGCCACCGATCATCACAAGCGTCTCGTTAGGCTCAAGGCATTTTGCTCAAGACCTCAACCAAACCCAAACATTGCTTCAAGCTGAGAGCGAAGCAGGACATGCGGAGCAAAGATGCGATACTTGCTGATCTTGCGAAATCCCTTTGTATCGCGACTACACCCTTTCCGACTCTAGCTCAGTCACCTCTTGCCTCATGCTGGTAATTTCTGCCTTCATGCTGGCGAACAGCCTACTCACTCTCTGTGATGACTTGAATGCAGCCCGTGCTGCATTCACACATTGGTTGTTTGGCATGCTGGAAGGAATACCCGCACCTTCCGACATGTCCCCGTTGCCTTACTTTTCTCAACAAGCTGCAAGATCTTGTCACGAAATACATCATTGAAATACATCTGTTCATACACATGATCTCTTTGCCTCAGCTCAGATATGATCTTAATCTGTGTGTTGTCCGTGCAGCTATACTCCATATGAAATTCCCTTATAGATTTTTCAATTTCAACAACTCGTTTCTCTAAGGACTTGACTCGGACATACAGGCTTTGCTCCATCTTTCTTTGCCCTTACATTGCAGAGGTAAATGGAAAACACTCTTACATAAAGGACCGACAACCCACCGCCGATGAACCCGAGGGGGACACCCGCGGCAAGGCGCTTCTCCTGCATCGTGACACCTACAACGCGAGGCACATTCATTCTGTTTGTAATGACCAGTAATCAATAAATTTGTTCGTTTTTCTTATCGTTTGCTTCTCTCAGTTGTGGACTAACGACATAATCCATGAAATTCATGGACTGCGATCGTGCAAGAAGTCAGTAGAGAGGAAGAGGGTAGAAGGGGAAGAACGCATACGGCTGTAGAGATGTGCTTTCTTGTCGTTTGAGTCTGTCCGCAGCCATTCGCTTGAGGGCTTCCAGCAGCATGTGCGGAGGAATGAGCAGTGGGAGTTCATTAAGGACAGAGTGTGTAAGGACGGGAGTCTGGGTTGGATCTTAGGGCCTCCAGGGACGGGGAAGTCGTCGACGACCATGTCCTTTATACAATCGCTGAGCATGGAGGAGGGATGGATGGTGATGTGTGTGCGGCTGTGGAAGTGGAGTTCAGTTCAAGTGCTCCAAGTTGATGATGGAGTTTTGAGAATCGCTGATTTGCCACGCAATGGTGCAGAAGAGATGCTGAGATGGGTCCTAAGAGAATGGTCTCAGGGCAAGAAGAAGTATCTTGTGTCCTTGGACGGTTACCAACAGGATGTACATGATCTGGCGCTCAGTGAATGCATGTGGTGGCTTCACAAGGACCGGGAAAACCGGCGGGTTGTCATCACGACGTCGATGAGTTCTCGAGAAAAGAAAAAAATTGAGCTCGATAGAATGGAGAAGGTAGAGGAGTTGATGGTGTACTCGTGGGCACTGGAGGAGTACCAGGAGGCCATAAAGTACGAAATGTTCTACAAGAGTGTGGCCGGTGTAATGAAATGGAGCTTGGATGCGGAAGAAAGCTCGGAGGAGACAAGGTCGAGAGATGTCGAGTCAAAGTATCAGATTGTTGGAGGCTCATGCCGCCATATGTTCGAATGTACGACAGATCAAGCTATCCAAGATCTCTGTGCAGCGATGGACTCTGTCTCTAATTTCACGACGCTCTTTGAAATGAACGTGGGCGACCGGTCAAAGCAGTTTGTCAATCGGCTGCATGGGAAGTATCGAATCGGAAACCAGGTGTACTGGACTTTTATCAGTAGGTTTGTTGCCAGGGAGCTAGCAGAGAAGCTCGGAGAATCGTTTGTGAGGAAGATTGAGCAGCTCCCTGGCATGACTGAGAATCCGTCTCTTCGGGGGATTTTGTTTGAGATGCTGTTCTTTGCTCGGATAGGACGAGATCCAGGGCTGCAGGTCAACCTCAGGTCAGAGAATCAAGCCGAGTCCGAGCAGCACGACGACTGGCAAAGGTGTAGCGTAATACCTCTTGAAGCAAGCGAAGTCCAGAAGGCTCTGAAGCAAGGAGAAGCAAGGTTGTGCCTGAAGCCGTTGAAATGGAATCCGGGGGGCTATGATGCAGTGATTTTGGACTCGAATGACAAGTTGGTGCGCTTCATACAGGTAACCATTGCGGAGACCCATGACCTTAAATTGCGGTTCATGTATGAGTGTCTGCAATCTTTGGGCATTGAGCAAGGGGGGACCTGGAAGGTTGAGATTGTGTTTGTCGTTCCAAAGGAGAATCTCTACAAGTTCAGAATGAAACGTGTGGAAGACGAATTTATACTTAAACAGTACGGGTGGACACGCGACTCTCAAGTAGTTGCAATGAACTCCAGACCGCAAGGATAGAGCCGACAGATCGATGAGGGAAGAAAGAGGGGAGTCGCGGCCCCCAGAAGCCTCCCTTGCATCATGTGATAGAGTGCCTTGAATAAATACATCCCCGATACCAACTCTGACACTACCTCATCTCCACAGCCTTACGCACGTCACTAACCCTCATCTCTCCTCCTTCCACAGGTGCGTGCCCGGCGCCTTTTGAAGGACGCGATCCTGGTGATGATTCGTGTTCCCTGCCGATTCTCAGAGAAGGAACGATGGCATGTAAGCCGACAAGGATCAGCGGGCGTGAGGTAGTTCCTTCACACTGACGTCTTGATCTTACTTGATGCCACCGATCATCACAAGCGTCTCGTTAGGCTCAAGGCATTTTGCTCAAGACCTCAACCAAACCCAAACATTGCTTCAAGCTGAGAGCGAAGCAGGACATGCGGAGCAAAGATGCGATACTTGCTGATCTTGCGAAATCCCTTTGTATCGCGACTACACCCTTTCCGACTCTAGCTCAGTCACCTCTTGCCTCATGCTGGTAATTTCTGCCTTCATGCTGGCGAACAGCCTACTTAGCTGGATGTAATGTGAGAACAGATCTTTGAGCTTCTGCGCGGGTTGAAGTTAGTGGATCGTTTGACTCATCGGTGCGTGACAGCTGCGTTGGAGTTTGAGGCGGAAGAGGATAGTGGAAGGAAGAGTAGGACTGACGACGAAGTGCATTTGGGCAGCCGAGACGCCCAGTGGGAGTCAGGGTTCCGCTTCAACCAGCACGTTGTCCTGGTGATCCGAGGAAGCTGCTTCAGGCTGTTCGCGCTCAGCATTATGGCAGCTGGGCTTACATAGCAGAATTCTTTCGACAAAAGGTGCGGACCGTGCCATTGACAACATGGAAGGGAGTGACCGACTGCTCACAAGGGACAAGATGTTGTGATGATCGACGTGGACCCGGATTTATCATGGAGCCGAAGTCAAGATAGCCATAGGTTGGCTCCTAGGTTGATCTTGGAGGCTGGGGCAAGTAACGGCCAAGTGCGAGAGCAGGGTACGCTGACTTGAGCGCGGAGCTCTCCTGCCCTCCTCAAAGACCATCTAGAATCGTCTGATCATTGACAAGCTGTGAGATTTCAATTCCTCCGCACATGCTGCTGGAAGCCCTCAAGCGAATGGCTGCGGACAGACTCAAACGACAAGAAAGCACATCTCTACAGCCGTATGCGTTCTTCCCCTTCTACCCTCTTCCTCTCTACTGACTTCTTGCACGATCGCAGTCCATGAATTTCATGGATTATGTCGTTAGTCCACAACTGAGAGAAGCAAACGATAAGAAAAACGAACAAATTTATTGATTACTGGTCATTACAAACAGAATGAATGTGCCTCGCGTTGTAGGTGTCACGATGCAGGAGAAGCGCCTTGCCGCGGGTGTCCCCCTCGGGTTCATCGGCGGTGGGTTGTCGGTCCTTTATGTAAGAGTGTTTTCCATTTACCTCTGCAATGTAAGGGCAAAGAAAGATGGAGCAAAGCCTGTATGTCCGAGTCAAGTCCTTAGAGAAACGAGTTGTTGAAATTGAAAAATCTATAAGGGAATTTCATATGGAGTATAGCTGCACGGACAACACACAGATTAAGATCATATCTGAGCTGAGGCAAAGAGATCATGTGTATGAACAGATGTATTTCAATGATGTATTTCGTGACAAGATCTTGCAGCTTGTTGAGAAAAGTAAGGCAACGGGGACTTGTCGGAAGGTGCGGGTATTCCTTCCAGCATGCCAAACAACCAATGTGTGAATGCAGCACGGGCTGCATTCAAGTCATCACAGAGAGTGAGTAAGCTGTTCGCCAGCATGAAGGCAGAAATTACCAGCATGAGGCAAGAGGCGACTGAGCTAGAGTCGGAAAGGGTGTAGTCGCGATACAAAGGGATTTCGCAAGATCAGCAAGTATCGCATCTTTGCTCCGCATGTCCTGCTTCGCTCTCAGCTTGAAGCAATGTTTGGGTTTGGTTGAGGTCTTGAGCAAAATGCCTTGAGCCTAACGAGACGCTTGTGATGATCGGTGGCATCAAGTAAGATCAAGACGTCAGAAGGACCTACCTCACGCCCGCTGATCCTTGTCGGCTTACATGCCATCGTTCCTTCTCTGAGAATCGGCAGGGAACACGAATCATCACCAGGATCGCGTCCTTCAAAAGGCGCCGGGCACGCACCTGTGGAAGGAGGAGAGATGAGGGTTAGTGACGTGCGTAAGGCTGTGGAGATGAGGTAGTGTCAGAGTTGGTATCGGGGATGTATTTATTCAAGGCACTCTATCACATGATGCAAGGGAGGCTTCTGGGGGCCGCGACTCCCCTCTTTCTTCCCTCATCGATCTGTCGGCTCTATCCTTGCGGTCTGGAGTTCATTGCAACTACTTGAGAGTCGCGTGTCCACCCGTACTGTTTAAGTATAAATTCGTCTTCCACACATTTCATTCTGAACTTGTAGAGATTCTCCTTTGGAACGACAAACACAATCTCAACCTTCCAGGTCCCC